TATAGGATCGTTTCAGAAGTGAAACCACAGCGTTGGAGTAATCTTCGTTTATTTGCGTAAACTTCACAATAACAGTTTATTAAATTACAATTTTAACTATTTTAACTAATTACACGACAATAATTATAGATAGGTCACAGTACAAATGGGCATAGTCACAGTGTGCTTAGTAGACGACTGCTCCAGGCGGAGGCTTTGAACAGAATGCCGCAGTGCTTGCCCCGTTCAATGATCACGACTCGCTCTCAAGCCGGGTGGCGTGACCGGTTGTGACGTAATCGATCTGAGCAGATAAAAATAGTCAACCGAGTGGTTATTTAAGTAATTAATTAACTTGAAAAATATAATACAGTGTAATTTAAATAAATAAATGATGAATTAATATTTGATGATGATTATTAATTATGATTATTACGAATATTGCTTACAATAGGTAGATAATATGAATTCAATGAGAGACTCTTCTGGTGCCGTCCGAGAGCCCGACGCTCCGACATCAGAAGTGGGATTCCGCGTCGCGAGTGCGAAATGGCGTGAACCCTCTGCACCTGCAGAGTGGTTTGGGTCACGATGTCCGCGTGTCCAGGTGACGACAGCTTCTGGTAAAGTACGGTCATCAGGAGCTGAGTAGCATCACCGGCCCGGCACGGTGGTGGAGATTGCTGCATACGGTCAGTCGTTCCATTTTTATTTTGACTTTGAGGCTGATTGTTCTTTGAATATAGAAAATGTTGTTAATACATTTTCTGAATGACACATAATGTATGTGGTCACTTGCATGTGGTAACGTTTAGTCTCAAGTCTGTTTTGATACTTATGTGATCGATTGTTGATTTGATAAGTTATTTTGTGATTTTCGTGTGATTCCTGAAAATAGGTACTGTGTGGTGCTAACTTATTATTTATTGATCGTAATTTTTCGTACATTGAGGTGGTTCGTAAGATTTATATTGTAACTCAATAATATGGCTTTGACACGACACGTGGTTAGGCAATAATAAAATAATTATTACCAGTTTTTGCCTGACTTTACAAACTCGAAAGATGTTAAAAAATAACGAATGGTTAATTTGTGTAAGGTAGGCACACCATCTGATCGTGCTAAAGTTAATGAAACAGATATACTATGAAAATTTAAATAAAATGTATACTGTGTCAAAAATACATGAAGGATAAAATTTATTAATAAAAAAAATCCTACTTTAGAATAGACAAGAATTCTAAGTAATGGTAAAATTGAAAGTTGATATTCTCATTAAACTGAATCTTTTTAGATCGGCCATAGATCATTAAATTTGACTTATTTAAAGAACAATGATAATACCAGTAATACTTGGTACTACCACTGAAAGTTATAAACTATTAAAAGGATTACTTTTCCGCCTTCCAAATTTTTGGTTCTATTATTGTTGTGCAATTACCTGAATTGAAGGACCCAATCTAAAAGCGCTGGTATGGTGGAGCGGAGAATAAATTTGTGTTTTATTGTCATAAAACTTGTATCAAAAATGAGATACCTAATCTCAAATAGAATTGTGACTCATGTGTCCCCTGAAGAGGCTCTCTCCTAATGTTGTTTTATTGCTAGTTTAAATAAATAAGTTGCTCATTCAGTTCAGTTCTATCTAGCTATACCTACATTTGTTGTTTGCCACACTAATAATGAAAAGAAAGACGGATTTAACACTTTCGTGGACAGTAGCATCCACAGACATATTAGGTGTTAACCCAGATCTTCTATGATCTGAGGGTGTTAATATTGATTTGCTGAAGTCACAGTGCACGTATAAATTTAGTACGCCTTACATTTTTGATTTTTCATACTGTTAGGTACAAGGAAAGGCATGTTTTAGTGTCAACGCAAAAGTAATCTAGAAAATATTTTTCGTGATGCATTTTAACACCTTATGCAAAAAAAAATATGGGCAGCGTATGAAATATTTTGGTGTCACATTAGACGTCATTACTAAACCTACTGTTTGCCTGTATATTGGCTATTATGAATTTAATGAAAATCGCAATACAGTTTCCAATCCTTTGAAAAGTTCACTTTTTGTATTTTTACAAATCTCTAGGAAATGTAAGTAACTACATTCCATTTCATAATAATAATGCTGACATAATGATGTCATACTTCTTTTGGAATCCATCGAACAAGGGATTTTTTGTAAAGAGACCTTGTTTAAAACACTAAAGCTTTGAAACCAAAAATTAATAAAAAAGGGATCGTTTTAAAAAAATATTAAGTGAAGTACTTGAGTTTTGGGGTCTCATGTGGAGGAATTCAATCGTTANAGTTGAAACAACTTTAAGATTCTAGTTAAAACTAGATTTGTTCTTGACTGAGTTGAAAATTTTGTAGTTTTGATTTGAATCTGTGGAGACCTGACATTTTACTGCACATGTACCGTCCTACTCATAGTGGTATTGTAGGATAGCCGAACGGTACTTTAAGTTACATGAGTGTGGTTGTCATATTACATGACGACTTAAATGCTGATCCACACGAGGACGCGTGAGAGTCAGGATCGCCGTGTCGGCGCGCGGGGCGCAATAAATTAAATAACTTAATGTTATAGTTCTCACAACACTTTCAATGTGTTAGCTAGTTTATTGCTATGGAATTTTAAGCAGCGCCAAAGCTCTTATGCCAGAGTTAAGTGCGCGCCTGGGAACGAAGGTGACATAAATCTCCATGTTGCCTGACGTAGTTGTGGACCCGTTCAAGTGCAGTATTGATGGATTAATAGCTTTACAAAAACTTCAGGTACAGAGCCCTGGAACGTAGAGATTTTGGGACTCAGTGTTAGAGTCATTGCACATTCGGGTTTTGGACGTGGTGGTGACTGGGCGTGGTTCACAAATTCGTCAATCGCTCCCAATCTATTAAGTCTAGGCGTCTCTAGCTTTGTTAAAGTAATTCAGTAACTTTGATCTTTCTGTTAAATTTAACTGTGGACAATATTGATACATTCTAGTCTAGTAAAGTTAGTCGTTTATAATCAGTGATTATAATTAGTGTTAGTATCCACTCGCACGTGTTCCCTATACGCCCACATAGGTAGATAGTATGAATTCAATGAGAGACCCTTCTGGTGCCGTCCGAGAGCCCGACGCTCCGACATCAGAAGTGGGATTCCGCGTCGCGAGTGCGAAATGGCGTGGACCCTCTGCACCTGCAGAGTGGTTTGGGTCACGATGTCCGCGTGTCCAGGTGACGACAGCTTCTGGTAAAGTACGGTCATCGGGAGCTGAGTAGCATCACCGGGCCTGCACGGTGGTGGAGATTGCTGCATACGGTCAGTCGTTCCATTTTTATTTTGACTTTGAGACTGCTTTTTTTTGAATAGAGAAAATGTGGTTAATACATTTTCTGGAGGACACATAATGTATCTGGTCACTTGCATGTGGTAACGTTCAGTCTCAAGTCTGTTTTGATACTTATGTGATCGATTGTTGATTTGATACGTTGTTTTGTGATTTTCGTGTGATTCCTGAAAATAGGTACTATGTGGTGGTAACTTATTATTTATTGATCGTTATTTTTCGTACATTGAGATGGTTCGTAAGATTTAGATTGTAACTCAATAATATGGCTTTGACACGATACGTGGTTAGGCAATAATAAAATAATTATTACCACTTTTTGCCTGACTTTGCTCGAGTTGCACCGGTTGTTGTAAACTCGAAAGATGTTAAAAAAAATAAAGAATGGTTAATTTGTGTGAAGTAGGCACACCATCTGATCGTGCTAAAGTTAATGAAACAGATATACTATGAAAATTTAAACAAAATGTATACTGATTACTTTGTCAAAATTACATGAAGGATAAAATTGATTAATAAAAAAAAACCTACTTTAGAATAGACAAGTATTCTAAGTAATGGTAAAATTTAAAGTTGATATTTTCACTAAACTGAATCTTTTTGGATCGGCCATAGATAATTTAATTTGACTTATTTAAAGAAATAATGATAATCCTACCAGTAATACTTGGTACTACCACTGAAAGTTATAAACTATTAAAAGGATTACTTTTCCGCCTTCCAAATTTTTGGTTCTATTATTGTTGTGCAATTACCTGAATTGAAGGACCCAATCTAAAAGCGCTGGTGTGGTGGAGCTGTGAATGAATAAAATTTGTGTTTTATCGTTACAAAACTGTATCAAAAATTGGATAATCTCAAATAGAATTGTGACTCATGTGTCCCCTGAAGAGGCGCTCTCCTAATGCTTAAAGGGTGAACAACCACCACTGTTGTTTTATTGCTAGTTTAAATAAAGAAATTGTTTATTCAGTTTAGTTCCATCTAGCTATACATTTGTTGTTTGCCACACTAATAATGAAAATAAAGACGGATTTAACACTTTTGTGGACAGTAGCACAGACATTTTGGGTGTTAACCTAGATCTTCTATGATCTGTGGGTGTTAATATTGATTTGCTGAAGTCACAGTGCACGTATAAATTCAGTACGCCTTACATTTGATTTTTCATACTGTTAGGTACAAGGAAAGGCATGTTTTAGTGTCAACGCAAAAGTAATCTAGAAAATATTTTTCGTGATGTATTTTAAGACTGCAACAAAATATGGGCATCGTATAAAATGTTTTGGTGTCACGGTAAACGTAATTACTAAACGGGTACTGTTTGACTGTATGTTGACTATTATGAATATAATGAAAATCGCAATACAGTTTCCAATAAATGTCCTCTGAGAAGTTCACTTTCTGTATTTTTACAAATCTCTAGGAAATCGTTCGTTGACATAATGATGTCATACTTCTTTTGGAATCCATCGAACAAGGGATTTTTTGTAAAGAGACCTTGTTTAAAACACTAAAGCTTTGAAACCAAACCAAAAATCAATAAAAAAGAGATCGTTTAAAAAAAAATCTAAAGTGAAGTACCTACTTGAGCTTTGGGGTCTCATGTGGAGGAATTCAATCGTTAAGTACCTACCTATCTACTTAACCATAAACATTTCATTATTTTTTGCTAGCTACGATTTTACACTTGTTTCTGACTGCAACTTTTTAACAGATACTCGCAATAAATTTGACTACACTTAATTTGATAATAATCAAATCACTGAATGTCTGGTATTATGCACCGAAAAGATGCAATTTTAGAACATTTCTAATGCTGTCAGATTGTTTCTAATTATGCCATATTTTCAAGTCTGTTGTAGTGTTCATATCCAAACATTACATAAATAAACAATGACTATGGTATAAGAATTTCAATTCGTATTTAGGTAAAAATAAAAAGAGATTTGAGAAAACCAAGGACGCATTTCAAAATTAATGTTGGTGATTTTGTTTAAATAAAAAAAAATCATGATAGACCAAAACTATCCTAACTATTTAGGGTCATTGAATTCTAGTTGTTATAACGAATTTGCATAGAAGCAATGTAAAAATGAAAATGCATGAGTATTGTCAAAATTATGGACATTGTTATTACACTCGGTTAATTCTTGATGATTGATATTGAGTTTAAAATCGTTAGTATTTTAAAATAAGTTAGTAGTTTGTATTTAGGACTACTAGGATTGCTGATATTAGATTTGACATTTCCTTTTATTTATTCTGATCTAGAATTATAAAAAAAATAATTGATTCTGTTGTAGACATGCCAATATAGTATGGGGTAGTTCAACAATATTCTTGATTCAATTAAATTTTTATCAGTTGTCGCTCTCAGAAAACTGATAGGCTTTTATGAGCAGTACCTATCTAAAGTTTGTGTGCAAGTACTAAACTTTCTGATTTCTTTCTGTTTTTAATTTTGATTTGATTTGAATTAAATTTTGGTTCTGATTGAATTTTAATTTTAATTAAATTTTACATTTTGATTAAATTTTAAATTTTGATTATTATTAAATTTTGATTTCATATAAATTTTGAATTTTAATTCTGATAATGTTGTTTTTATTTTATTAGAGTATGTTTTATTTTGATTTTATGGACTGATCGTGTGAATTATTTTTAATGATAACATTCCACACGGTTAGTGACGCCTTATAGGTACAACCTATGTAAGTAATGTGTTATCTTTTTTTTTACGAGTACTTACATTATGCAATAAGATTATTTAATTTGTTTTGATTTGAGGTAATGACCGATGTGATTTTAAAATCATTAGTCAGTTGTTCATTGCTATCGAGTGATGCTGAAATGTTACGTCCCCACAGAACGAGAAATAGTCAGGTTTAGCCGTTGTCGGCGCTAATGAGATTGAAAGAGAGCTAATGAGTTTGAAAACGAATAGTGGCAATAATGATGATATTGTTGTAGTATCTTTTGTAGAAAATTATGGCTGGTTAACATGACTAAGAGTACTCAGGGCCTTGTCTTGTTGTCGATCGTAGGTCATATTCCTAACCCAGTTTAGCTGGTCGGAGACTGCGCGGCGATGATGAGTAATGAGGTCATGGGTTTGGCAGTTGATTGAATTTGTTTCGATAGCTGCTGATCGGTCGTGAGTACCGATGGTGGGGCCATGAGAGTGCCTTTGTGATCGGCCATGAGAGTGCCGTTGTGTTCGGTCATCTATACCGATGGTGAGGCCATGAGAGTGCCTTTGTGATCGGCCATGAGAGTGCCGTTGTGTTCGGTCATCTATACCGATGATGAGGCCATGGGAGTGCCTTTGTGATCGGCCATGAGAGTGCCGTTGTTATCGGTCATCAATACCGATGGTGAGGCCATGAGAGTGCCTTTGTGATCGGTCGTGAGTACCGATGGTGATCGGCCGTGAGTGCCGTGGTGATTGGCCGTGAGTGCCATTGTGACTGGCCGTGAGTGCTGGTGGTATCGGATGGTGATTCCGATGGTCGGATGCGTTCCGATAGTGCGTGACAGTGTGTCGCGGGTATTAGTTACGTTAACCTTGGCCTTAGTTTTGGTTGAAATAACTTTAAGATTCTAGTTGAAACTAGATTTGTTCTTGACTGAGTTGAAAATTTTGTAGTTTTGATTTGAATCTGTGGAGACCTGACATTTTACTGTNTAAATAAATAAATAAATATTGTAGGATAGCCGAACGGTACTTTAAGTTACATGAGTGAGGTTGTCATATTACATGACGACTTAAATGCTGATCCACACGAGGACGCGTGAGAGTCAGGATCGCCGTGTCGGCACGCGGGGCGCAATAAATTAAATAACTTAATGTTATAGTTCTCACAACACTTTCAATGTGTTAGCTAGTTTATTGCTATGGAATTTTAAGCAGCGCCAAAGCTCTTATGCCAGAGTTAAGTGCGCGCCTGGGAACGAAGGTGACATAAATCTCCATGTTGCCTGACGTAGTTGTGGACCCGTTCAAGTGCAGTATTGATGGATTAATAGCTTTACAAAAACTTCAGGTACAGAGCCCTGGAACGTAGAGATTTTGGGACTCAGTGTTAGAGTCATTGCACATTCGGGTTTTGGACGTGGTGGTGACTGGGCGTGGTTCACAAATTCGTCAATCGCTCCCAATTTATTAAGTCTAGGCGTCTCTAGCTTTGTTAAAGTAATTCAGTAACTTTGATCTTTCTGTTAAATTTAACTGTGGACAATATTGATTAAATTGTCGGCGCGCGGGGCGCAATAAATTAAATAACTTAATGTTATAGTTCTCACAACACTTTCAATGTGTTAGCTAGTTTATTGCTATGGAATTTTAAGCAGCGCCAAAGCTCTTATGCCAGAGTTAAGTGCGCGCCTGGGAACGAAGGTGACATAAATCTCCATGTTGCCTGACGTAGTTGTGAACCCGTTCAAGTGCAGTATTGATGGATTAATAGCTTTACAAAAACTTCAGGTACAGAGCCCTGAAACGTGGAGATTCTGGGACTCAGTCTTAGAGTCATTGCACATTCGGGTTTTGGACGTGGTGGTGACTGGGCGTGGTTCACAAATTCGTCAATCGCTCCCAATCTATTTAATTTAGGCGTCTCTAGCTTTGGTAAAGTAATTCAGTAACTTTGATCTTTCTGTTAAATTTAACTGTGGACAATATTGATTAAATTACGAACCAGTCTTTACATTCTAGTCTATAGTAAAGTTAGTCGTTTATAATCAGTGATTATAATTAGTGTTAGTGTCCACTCGCACGTGTTCCCTATAGGCCCACATAGGTAGATAATATGAATTCAATGAGAGACTCTTCTGGTGCCGTCCGAGAGCCCGACGCTCCGACATATATAAAAATGAAACCCGTTTCGCGTTGTCACGGCATCACGTGTGAACGGCTGAACCGATTTCGATAATTCTTTTTTTTAAATGTTTGTGGAAGTCCAAGGATGGTTCTTACGGAAAAAAATATTAAGAAAATCTCTACGCTAAGGCGGTACGAAGTTCGCCGGGTCAGCTAGTTTTTTATAAAATCCGATTTGTATGAAAATTGAAATAATTAAAATGAAGATATCAATTTTCTGACTTCACCATACCATTTATATGACCGTGTTAACATGGGCTAGTGTCGGCTCATATACCCATTTACCTAACACCCTGTATTTGTTTGAATTCTATTCACATCATATCTTTATTTAAGTAATCCTTTCGTAAGATCCTCTCAGTTAGCTCATTCATTCGCCTCGCTTTTGATCTCGATTATGTATTGAAAACTGATAATGGCTACTATCTCTTAATGATCTAAGATCAATAGACATTGGGATATTGACTCAAAAAGCTCCAACTTCTCTAAAAAAATATGAAATAGGTAGGTACTTTCTGGATTGTCTGATAGCAGAAATGAGAAAGACCTTATAGCAACTGGTTCATA